ATCTCTATCACAGGCATGAGCCACTATCTATCACAGGCATGGGGGCGGGGCAGAAAGGTAGGTAAGCAAAGTTTTTCTGCACGGGAAAGCCTTTGAAGAGTATAGATGTCTCACCTAATCCAAATCACTGCAAGAGTTTTGAAGTACTCCATTAAATTGAAGCAAAACTGTTTGCCACATAGAGTTGACTTGGTTTGAGGAGTTGCAGGGACTGAAATGGTTTCAGTTTCCAACTTTCTGAACTGAAAAGCATCAATATGATGACCATATTTTCTGAATCCAAAGTGGATTTAACATCGGATCGTCCCGTGAAATACAAGGGCATGTTATAATGGTCTAGAGAAGATCATGGATCTATTTGGAAGGGCAGGAAAAGTGGAAGATACCTTTGATTTGGGTGATTTCTGCCTTCTCCCATAAACTAAAGCAATTCAACTCTTCTTAGGGGTTCTGCCAGCAATATTGAGGCTGGAGGGAACAGAGGAGAGAGAGCACAACAGAAAATATAAAATTCCATCATCTCCATTCAAACATCAGCCTGGAGGTAGGAGAATGAATTAGGTGATTGGATATTTCTCTCCCAAACTCAGGATCTAGTGCCTCTGGGCTTTGGAAGGTAATGGAATTGAAAGTTCCAGAACCTGTCTGGTGCTTTGGCCAAAATTCCTAGCCATAAGCAATCTTACCAGGTGAGGACGGTGACTCACTCTCATTCAGTGTATGGGGGAACACACCCACTTTGTTTTTCTTTTGCCAATCCAATCCTCCACCATGGATAATGCAGTGCTATCCAGGAGCAGCACAGCTCACCCAGGAAGATGGGCAGGGCCAACCTCCCAGTACCCAAGCGGGGCCTTGAAGTTTCCCATTTCACTGAGCTTGAAAAATCACCCACCACTCCTGCCTCCCTGGGTCATGTGCAGGCTGGGGATGATCGTAAAATAGACACAGCTCTGACCCACCTACAGTGGAAGAATTAATGACTCTTCATATATGGTACAGTGAGAATAAGCACCTAGAGGCCAGGTGCAGTGGCTCACACCTGTACTTCCAGCACTTTGGGAGGCCAAGGGGGGCAGATGAAGACAGAAGTTTGAGACCAGTCTGGCCAACACGGCGAAACCCTATCTCCACTAAAATTATAAAGATTAGGCAGGCATGGTGGCACACATCTGTGGTCCCAGCTACTTGGGATGCTGAGACATGAGAATTGCTTGAAACCGGGAGGCAGAGGTTGCAGTGAGCCAAGATCACGCCACTGTACTCCAGCCTGGATGACAGAGTGAGACTCTGGTTTTTTTTTTTTTTTTTTTTTTTTTAAAAAAAAAAAAAAAAAGGAAAAATGAAGCTCCTAGAGAGTGAAAGGAGCTTGTGGGAACCACGTTCAGTCCTCTCCAGGAACAGCCTTGACCACCAGCCTGCGTTCTACTTTCTGGATAGTAAACAGGTCCTTATCACTCTCCTTTATTTCCTTTATGTTGCTTGAGTTATCGTTGGTACCTCGAAAACAAGTGGGTCAAGGGAAGGAGTAAACACTGAAATCTCCTCCATCCTGCATGGTCTTCTTTTTTTTTTTTTTTGAGACAGAGTTTCACTCTTGTTGCCCAGGCTGGAGTGCAATAAGCGTAATCTCAGCTCACCACAACCTCTGCCTCCCGGGTTCAAGCAATTCCCTGCCTCAGTCTCCCGAGTAGCAGGGATTACAGGTTTGCGCCACCAGGCCCGACTAATTTTGTGTTTTTAATAGAGATGAGGTTTCTCCATGTTTGTCAGGCTGGGTCTCGAACTCCCAACCTCAGGTGATCCACCTGCCTTGGCCTCCCAAAGTGCTGGGATTACAGGTGTGGGCCACCGTGCCTGGCCAGTCCCACATGCTCTTAAAGGTTGAGAGGGAGAAGCTAAAACAAATGCCAGGAATAAGGTTTTAAACTAAACTGTGGACTCCTTAGCCAGCGCATGTATTCACTGGCCAGTGCAGGCCTCAGAGCACCGGCACCACCGTCCCCTATCCTGGGGGTGGTTTGGACTGTGGGTGTCATCAGCACAAATGGGTGACGTGTCCTAGGGTGACTTCCTAGACTAGCTGTAGACTGCCCATGGAGTAAATCTCTCAGGGCACTGACGGAAAACAAGAATCTAATGGGGACCACAAACTGTAGGAAAAGTACCACCAAGGGCACAGAGAACAAAATACAAATATAGTTTTTCTTCTATTTAGAGAATTTAAAAGCTCCATTTACCCAGTTTATAAGAACTGTAAGCATAAGAAACTACTAAACCATAGGAAGTGCTAAATATAGGATTAAAAGATTTAGGAGGCTGGCGGAGAAAAGAAGGGAAGCATCAAAAAGCACAAATCATAATGGAAAGGACCCAGGAGGCCACTGTACAGTGAGACCAGAGGGAGGTGACTTGCCCCCATTGACGAATGGAGCAGAGCTGGGTCAAGCGCCCGGGGGCGGGGGGGGGGGATGTGCTGTGCACTCTGGTGTCACTGCTTCTCTGGAGGGAGGCCGGAGAGGCTGAGAAAAGTGTAAACACACAGAGGAGGTGAAAGGAGGGGATGAAGATGGCAGAGAAGGGAGGAGGAAGCAGAGACAGAGAAAACTTGGGAGAGGGAGACAGGAGAGAGCAGTGAGGGTATGAATGAGTAGTATCAACTCATTCACTCACATTAGCTTTGCAAGAGGATTAACTCTAAACTGTTTTCCAACTCGGTTTGAATCACAAGTTACTGCGGCCCTTCCAATTGTTCAATTGCTAATTCTTTAAAAAACTCATTTCCAGAATACCATATAGCATTATTAACCACAGTCAGCATGTGTACAATAGATCTCTTGACCTATTCCTCCTGATCTGAGATTTTGTTGCTTTCATTCTTAAATCTCGAAAGGGTCAGCTCCTACAGCTCACTAAAATGTGGGTTTCTGGCAAAAGCAATGATACCTGCAGGCTGGAAGACAGGAAGAACCACATGTTTTCCATTTCTCAGCCCGAGAAGTCAAGGATATGTGACTACCTGTTCAGTTCTAAGCCAAATACTGCTAAAAACTGTTGTAGGGAGGCGTCTTGTGGGTTGACCAGCTGGCCACAGGCGTCTGGCTTTTAGCAGTCCACATTTGCTGCTAATCATGATTAGTCAATACTTTTCTCAACTAGTGCATGCTGGCCAGTATTCTGTAATGTTATTCACTTCTCAAAGAGGACTCTGTGCTGATTCAACCCAGTTGTCGTCCAGAAGTCCATCAAACATTTGTTTAGTGTGATAACCTCTGACCAGCTTTCAAGACCCTTTATTCTTCTTGGCTTCGTGAGCTAAACTACTGTGGTTCAAAGTGTGTTCTACTTAACGGGGAAACTGACTGATTGGAATGTATCACTCCACAGCCTCATATAAATCACAACATTCTTCCCAAGCAGCAGTCTGGAAAGTTACTGTGACCGGGCAGAGCTGTGATGCCATCAGCAGGGAACTCTCCAAGGATGCAGAGAAAGGCATCCTTTCATCCTTTATTTCCCCAAAGCGCTGGCTTTTCTCTTGCACCTACCATGTTTATCAGAATGATAAATTAATAAGCAATGCAGGGAGAGACGGCCTGATGAACCAACCCCCATTCCCCTGGATTTCGCCCACTTTAGACGCCTGACTCTACCGTGCTGCGTTTCCCTGCCAGAGGCAAGACTGGCAGCCTGGGATGTGCCAAGTGCTTGGCTCTAAACTGCAAAACAAAACAGTAAAGGAGGGAATTTGTGAGTTAGCTGATTTGCAAACATCAGAGCAAGTCGCCATGTAAACATTTGTTTTTGTGTCTCTTGGGTTTTTCCATTTCTCTCAGGCAGCTACCTGGATGCCACCCTGATGGCATCAAAACGTGCTGCTCCTCAAGTTACTGGTGAACCCTTATTCACACTTAAAAAAACTCAGCTTCTTTCATGCCATTAAAAAGAAACCTAAAAGCCCCCACAAAACAAAGAAACAAAAAAACCCAAACAAAAAACCTTCATGAACCAGTCATCACAGAGCATGTTAGTAAATACAGCAGGAGAGTCTCCAGTGTCGCTCAGAATCAACGTTAGGCCAACAGGTATGTCCCCACGTGTCAATGAACGTGTCACTTGGAGGGAGCCATCACCTGGGGACCTGAATGAATGAGCAGCCGCAGGCACACTCACACGGGATGGCTGAGACTGGCCCATCACCGGTGCATCCCGACTTTAAATAAAAGGTACCTGGGAGTATGTTCTATGCCCCCAGCTCCAAATGCCAGTTTACTGAATCATCACACAAACCAGCATTTACTGGGTCTGACCAAACGTATGTGGTGAGTAAGCATTTGGACTCTTCACCGTAAGCCTAAAAGTTAGTTTTTCCATTTACCCCCATTTTGCAGTTGAAGAAGTATGCGGTGAATTCCACAGCACAGCCAGAATCTGAACACTGATTAAGAATACAGAACCTGTAATACGCTTGCTTGGTAACAAAATAAAATAAAAATCCTGCATGACAAAAGACACTTAAAGGATATCACAGAGCACTGCTACTTTCCTGCTGTTTCCCCAAAGCACCTTCCCATTTAGCTTCAGTGTGGCTACTTATTTCCACTCATTCAACTCCTGGTAAAAAAGGGAGAGTTATAATCAGGAAGTCCTGATAAATTGGAAAGAGGAAAAAAACCTAATTTTCTCTAAACGTTTTGTAGTATTACGGGGTCAGAAGGTCCCAACCAATGTTATCTAATCTAGTTCTTGCCCCAGGCAGGATGACTTAAGTCATCCCAAAGAAAGGAAGGTTAATACCATTTGTAAAGATCTTCCCGAATTCTACCTACCTGAGAGGCGAGTTACAAGGATCACTTGCCTGTTGGAGGCTCTGCGAAATGCTCTGGAGCCTTTGAGAGGAAAGGCACAGCACAAATGCAAATTATTAACAATAAAAATCAGCTCAATTCCCATAAACATAGCCATGTAACCCAGCCAAAGGAATGTGTGAGGCGTGGAGCTACAATGCGAGTCTTTGTCAGAAAATATATTTATTATGGATAGTGAGTGAAGTAAAGATGTCAGTATTCACTACCGAGGTTATATCAGCCAAGGTTGCCTTCATATTGATAAAAATACCTTATCTCACTTGTAATCATAAACATTATTCCAGTAAAAGAGGTACATTTTCGCTCCTTTTTGCCTTCTTGCCTGTATGATCGCCATAGTAAGTTAAAATGAAATTGCTCTTATATAAGCAAAGAAGAAAAGAAAGAGAGACAAAACCAACATCCCGCAGCCTAGACAATTCCACCCCGCACTGCTGCCCCAAGAGCGATGTTTTCTGACTCTCTCCTCGCCCCACTCCAGTTCATTTAGCCCCCCACATATCCCATTTTGTTAGGGTGGAGCTTCACCAAATGATGGGGCTCCCTCAGAAGAGAAACATTTTATAGTCAGTGGAAGTTGAACAGAAAGTACCAAAAGGTGGAGAAGGCTGCCCTTCTCTTTCAATCGTCATAAGAGGGTTTACTAATACTGAGGGGTGTCCTTTAATGACTGACGCCTGGTCAAGGCTTTGGCCCTTCAAATTGCCACTGTTCAAAATGTGAAATGATTCTGTTGAATCCATTCTCTGGTGTCTCTCTTTAGTGGTCTTCTCATTAGTGGTCTTCTCTTCAAATGGGTTGTTTGCTTACTAGGAAAAAAAATGTTCCATCTCTGGAATTAACGTTGATGGTGTTTGCTTGTTCTGTGTTGTTATCCTCCCTTCTCAAGCATGCTCTGTAAGAGAAACAGAGAGAGTAAGTTTTACCACCAGGAGAGGGCAGAAAACAAATGGCAGTAACTATTTAGTATGATTTGTATTGCTTTTCAAATATCTAACTTTTAAAACACATAAAAGGCATATGCTTCCTGTTCTCAAAATATTGCTCCTTTGACCAACACCATTGCTTTATCAGATATGATCTTTAAATGATCCCTCTCACCACCATACAGGTTGAAAATCCCAATAAGGCTGGGCGTGGTGGCTCACACATGTAATCCCAGCACTTTGGGAGGCCAAGGTGGGTGGATCACTTGAGCCCAGGAGCTTGAAACCAGCCTGGGCAACACAGTGAAACCCCATCTCTACCAAATATACGAACATTAGCTGGGCATGCTGGTGTGTGCCTGCAGTCTCAGTTACTCGAGAGGCTGAGGTGGGAGGATCCCTTGAGCCTAGGAGGCAGAGGTTGCAGCAAGCCATGAGCTGGGTATGTGGATGGCTGGAAGGAGGCAGGCGGGAACGGGTGAACTAGAGGCGACCTCGGCCTCACCTTGCCTCTCTGAATGGTTGCAGAACTAGACGGGGGAGTATCACTTTTTTCTTCTTAAAGACCTCTAAAAGTGAGCTGGGCACGGTGGCTCATGCCTGTAATCCCAGCATTTTGGGAGGCCAGGGAGGGTGGATCACCTGAGGTTAGGAGTTCAAGACCAACATGGCCAAGACGGTAAAAGCCCATCTCTACTAAAAATACAAAAATTAGCCATGTGTGGTGGTGGGTGCCTGTAATCCCAGCTACTCGGGAGACTGAGGCAGTGAACTGCTTGAGCCTGGGAGGCGGAGGTTGCAGTGAGCCGAGATTGCGCCACTGCACCCTAGCCTGGGCAACAGAGTAAGACTCTGTCTCATGTAGAAAGCAAAAGTGCTCCTGGTAGGGGCATTTGGAAATGTTGGGATTACAGCTGGTAGATGCAGTGATTGGGGGAAAGCTATGGCCAAGGCAGGGTGGGGATCAAACCCCAACTCCAAAGGCTCTGAGAGGGAATCTCTTCATTAAAGAGAAACATAAGATTCCCCCCCAGAGAGGGAGAACACAGATGTTCATGTGCTCATGAGGCTGGACAGAGCTACACAGATAAGTACCTATTCCCAGATTGTCCCAGATTGCAGAAATGGTCCCTACATTCTATTTAGTTATTTATTTGGGGGATGTGGAGGTAGACAGCAAGAATTCTTAACTACCAGATGAAAACTCTATAACCAGCTGAAATCGAGGTATGCTGACTCCTTTTTTTTTTTTTTTTAGATGGAGTCTCGCTCTGTCACCCAAGCTGGAGTGCAGTGGCACGATCTCAGTTCACTGCAACCTCCGCCTCCCAGGCTCAAGCAGTTCTCTGCCTCAGTCTCCCGAGTAGCTGGGATTACAGGCGCCCACCACCACTCATGGCTAATTTTTGTATTTTTAGTAGAGATGGGCTTTTACCATCTTGGCCAGGTTGGTCTTGAACTCCTAACCTCAGGTGATCCACCCGCCTCAGCCTCCCAAAATGCTGGGATTACAGGCATGAGCCACCGTGCCCAGCCCACTTTTAGAGGTCTTTAAGAAGAAAAAAGTGATACTCTCCTGTCTAGATTTGCAATCATTCAGAGAGGCAAGGTGAGGCCGAGGTTGCCTCTAGGTCATCCGTTCCCGCCTGCCTCCCACCAGCCCTCACCTTCCAGCCATCCACATACCCAGTTCTCCACTGAGCTCCCACCAGGCACTGCTGCACTTGGTTACCTGCTATGGGGAAACTAATACATACACCCCTGGAAAATTCAGGACTAATAAAAGGTAACAATTTGCTAATTTTTATTTATTTGCTAAATACATGCTAACATTTATTTTATTGTGTAAACAATGTAATATTTAATAGGAACAAAACAGTATCTGATAGAAAGTAATTTTTTCCATTTCCCAGTTTCTGTGTCCCCTTCCAGAGATGGTGACAGCTCACAAGAGGAACTGTTCTGCCTGGCGCAGAGAGCAAGCCTGTAGCTGGAGCGAGCAGGGAAGGCTTCTCCAAGGACCTTCCACCATGGATCGAATACAGGTGGAGGACTAGGGTGGGACTGAGAGGAATGAGGGGAGAGAGAAAGTGGTGGCCAGGATTCAGAGGGTGGGGGCAAGCCCAGCACATATGGAATCCTGAAGGGAGAGGCCTCGCTGGAAGAAATGACACGCTCAGAATTGCTCAAGAGAAAGGGTGGAAGGAGGGCCCAGGACAGTCGCCAGGCTGAACATGTCCTGCCTGGGGACATGTCCTAGCCACAGAAAACAAGGAGGAATGCTTTTAAAGAGGAGAACGGCATGTAGGAAGGTTAACCCGACATCCTTGGCATGATGAATCCAACAGAGGGGAGTCTGCAGGCAGGAAGGCCAAGGAGGAGGCAGGTTAGAAACCAGACAAGCGTGGAGACAAGAACTAGAGCTACATGGGAAGAAAAAGGGAGACGGTGACACCTGAGGTATGGGAGGATCCTCGGTGACAAGGACAGTGATGGGGTCACCAAGAGAAATGGAGAAATCCATGGGAGCTTGGGAAGAAGGATGACTTAAAGTGTGGGTTTGAGAGACAATTTTGGGTGAGACAGCCCAAATGGAAATGTCTAGAAGGAAGTTGCAGGCCTTCTGACATCAAAGGTCTCTGGACACAAAGATTTAGGGTCAAAAATTTAAAAATAATTGAAATGAAGGGGACAGAACAAAAAGAGTAGAAGTCAAACAAGATGGTTTCTTGGGTCTTAGGAGCAAAGGGTGGCTAGATTATCCTAAAGTGTCCATCATTGTAAGTTTCTGTAGAAGTCTGTGGAATAGGTTCTATAAATTCCAGATATATAGGTTTCTAAGAAGCCCTACGGATATCCATAGGGTACAAAAGAACAGATATAAAGGCAGGCCAACTTAGACATAACACACAGAGAGTGGTCAGAAAAACAATGATTCTGTCACACAGAAAGTAAATTAGAAAAGCTAGATGCCTTTAGAGAAAACAGAAAAAACAAAGTAGGTGCAGAGGAAGACTCTGCTCAGCAGAGAGTGGTCCTGTGAGAACTCACACTGGAATGTGGGGCATAAGCTCCATGTTCGTTGGGAAAATAACACCCTGAGCACCCACCACGTAAGAGACACTACCTGGCAGTCACAGCATCTCAGCTATGCTCACCCACGAGTGAATTGATCTGTGTGAGTCTCTCCAATTACATGGATGATACGTTCTATAAGTTCCAGATATATAGACAACCTCATTACATCATGCTTTATTAAACACAAAACAGAAGTCAGTACAAACCAGATCTATACTGAACCTATCTAAGGAAATTCAGTTACTGAAGAAAGTGATCTCTTTATAAATGATGCTACTTTGGAATTTGCATTTGGGGGGTTATGGATTCACTGCTTTCTTCAACACACTGATGGGAGTGAGCTGTCATCTGCCTGGCCAAGATTACAGTCATGCCCCACTCTACAATTTTGGTCTTAGGTTTATAAGGATAACCACATAACAATGCACCTCCTTTCAAATATTGCAAAATAATCTGCAGCCACCAAAACTTAATGAAAGCAGCAGTTAGAGTGTTTTTCGAAAGTCTAGAGATTGTTTCCATAATCACCTTGCAAACTCAACCAAATACAGATGGGTAATTTTCCAGCCAAATCATATCACGCTAAGAATGTTAGACTCTCTTTCAGAAGGACAGACAGGATGGGGCCTGGCTGGTCTGAGGATAAGCAGCCCAGTTTCACATAAAGACACCCAAGGAAATAACATTTTAATAACCCCTTTAACCACATTCACAAAATACCCTGTTACACGTATTACAATTCTAATCCTCAAAGATAGCACAGTGGTTCAGCTGATTCGTGGCGACTCCTTGAGGACACGTGGGACCACAGGAAAGTGCCAGGGCTGATCTATAAACATTTTGTCAAACTGCACTCACTTGCTACCAAAGGGTGGCAGAGGTGGTACAAAACCGTCTCAATTCTATCAGAGACATGAACAAACACAATGGCAGGTTGAATTTTTAAAAAGATAAATTCATCTGTCAAACATTCTGGGTTTTATTATCATATTCCAGATCTGCAATGAAACCTGCTCCAACTCAGACTGCAGGGCTTTTGGCTAGAGGGATCCGTAGGTCTGGTGGGGTCTGTGTTATTCAGCTTCCACCTTATAGGTTCTCCTACGGTCTCTGTATTGGTTCTGTAAGTAGCTGCTGTTGGGCTGAATTTCAACACTGCATAAATTTGACACTGCATAAATTAACATAGGAAATTCCCTAAAGAATGAGGGAAAAGCTTCGCAAGTTATAAAAAATTGCTTCCTTCATTTAAGGAACTGCTAACACTTAATGTGGAGAAAGAAATTCCTTGCTTTTGCTCATCATTTACGGATTTGGGCTTGCAGAAACTCCTTTTATAAACAGCTGGGTAAATCACCAAAAGGACAGTGTGGTTCAGGCATGAACACTGCTCTTTTCCCAAGTCTTTTTCTCATTCCAGCCACTGAAGAACTGGTAGCTCACAAATAAGAACAGCGCCCCTGGAGGCCTGAGATTGCATGTCACTTCCGCTTATTAAAAAACGATCCTAACCACTTGCCTCAAATATTTTTGTTATGTAATCTCATCAACTGATTTTTGAATCACGGCTGTCTTGGAGGGGTTGACTATCATAGCAGCATGCCAGATGCTGGCTGTGTGGATAATTTAAGAGAAATGAGGGCAATCCTGGGTTGCTAACCAATTATCATGAAGAGAATAAAAGCGGTTTGTTTTTTTTAAGATACCATTGAGTGCTTGTCTCCGGATGAGCTTACCCAGCACCTCACCAAGACTTCAGGCCTCACAAAGCTGGGGAGGGAAGCAGGAAGGTTTACTTAAACGTGGAAAAATGAAAGTGGAGATGTGTCCTGGTACAGACCTGGTATCAAGACATGAGTTTTACTAAGGAGGGTCAGGAAAAGTGGGGAGT